CTGAAAGCACTTCTACTGTCCTCTGTTCTCAAGAAGACGTTCCATGCAACACAGCCTTCATGCCAAATCGCCAAATGGTTGTTGTTGTTGTTAGGTGCCATCAAGTCGATTCCAGCCCATAGTGACCCTACAGGACAGAGGAGAACTACCCCACAGGGTTTCCAAGGAGCAGCTGGTGGATTTGAACTGCTGACTTTTCGGTTAGCAGCCGAGCTCTTAAACTCTACGCCACCAGGACTCCTCTACCAAACCGTAGGGGATCGAATATAGACAGGATAGGATAGACGGGGCCCTAAAAGCTTCTCCTGATTGAAATCCAGAGGATGTGATATCCCTTTGGAATAAACAGCCTCAGGCAGCAACATGGCCAACTGCACATTCCACGTCTTCACTGACTACACCTCCCAGCTGTTTCCTATGTGCCCCCTCTCCCCAGACTAAGTCTCCAAGGTAGGACACTGGCGTTCTCTGGGCTGTTACTCCCTCTGGATCCCATTCACCTATCGGTGCCCCGGGCAGGGCTCAAGTCTTCAGTCTCCCTGGGTCCTCATCCCTTCAGAGTGACCCTGACCCAACATCCACTGCCGTACGGCTCCTCTTATCTGGGTTATTCCCTCCAAGACTCCAGCTGTTGGCCCTCTCCATCCTCTCCCTCTACACTTCTGGAGTCCATGTCTCCTTCTTTCCCTCTCCTGGTCCACCCACCGTTCCCTTTATCTTTCAGCCCTGCCCTCTCCGTTCGGTCAGCTTCACACCAGGCTGCCTGGAATGTGACTCATCCCCTCCCCAGCTTTTGGACACTCAGACTGGGTAATAGAGGGGAAAGAGAGCTTGGACAGGGATACCAGCTTAGGGGGGAGGGCTGGAGACCAAGAGGGCTGTCAGACCAAAAGCCAGGTTAGAGGCTGAGGACGGTGATGTACCTGTTACTTGATACGCCTAATGATTATGTGCATACAGATATAATTACATATACAGCATTTGGATTATAAAGAAGAGTATTGCCTATTGGGTGTGTATTATGAATTAGAGTTCTTGTACAGAGGGCATGTAGAATTACAGTTAAAGTACACACACTTAAAACACATTAGGGTTATTGTAGAGAGAATGACAGGTTTCATATATATGAGTGAGTTTGGGCTCTACCTTCATTTAACAACCTCACCTGGTCCTTCCCCCAGTTCCCCTCCCCTTCCCTGGAGTGGCTATGCCAGTCGTTCCCAAACTGCGTTACACCTTGGAATCACCAGGGAATCTTTAAAAACCCTGGTGCCCAGCTCCCACCTTTCTCCCTGTGATGTAATTGGTATGGAGGGCAGCCCAGCCACCCGGAGTTCTCAAAGCTCCAAGGTGATTCTAATGTACAGCAAAGTCTGGGCACCACTGTGCTCTGCCATTTCTTTTAGAGCCACACTCAACCTGTCTGATCATCAGCAGAGCTTCCTGTAATGCACGCCAACCATCTGGTAGTGAGTCCGCACTAACTTGTGGAGTCTGTAACCCTCGCCTGGGGTCCAGGCTAGGCATCCTACAGCGATTGGTATTATTGCTCTACTGGCTTCAGGACCATGTGGCAGTGTGGGGAGAGTCAGACCATGTTAGAAGCCTGCCTTGTGGCAGAAGCAAAGAGGGAGGGTGGAAGGGTACGGAGGGAGAGGCTGGGTGGTGAGATCAGCCAGCCAGAGGGCCTCATTCCTTCTCCAAAAAACCAAACCCATTGCCATTGAGCCAATGCTGACTCACGGTGACCCCATGTGTTACAGAGTAGAATTCCTCTATAAAGTTTTCTTGGCTGTAATTTTCATGGAAGCAAAGTGCCAGGCCTTTCTCCCGTGGCACCACTGGGTAGGTTCAAACTGCCAACGAGAGCAAACTGTTTGTGCCACCCTTCCAGTACAAGGGGATTTGGTGCTGCCTGGGGTAGACTGTCGGAAGGAAGACTACTCCCAGCTGAAGGGCTGGCCAACAATTCCGGAGCTTTAAGAAGGCTACGATGAGCGACTCAAGGCTCCTCCTGGCTCAGCGCCGACTTTTCTCTGTGACTTTGAGTCCATCATTAAACCTCTTTGAGTTCAAGCTTAGCAGGGAGGATCCTTGCTGCAATCTATGTGAGCCACAATAAGAAAAGCTAATGGCTTGTGTTTTTGAGCATTTAACACAATACCTGCTGTATATTAAGTACTTCACGTGCATTACCTTGTTTAGTTCTTACAGTAACCATGGGATTGGTCCTATTATTATCCCCGTTTTACAGATGGAAAAATGAAGGCTTGCAGAGATCAAGTAGCTTGCCCAGAGTTAACCAGCTAATGCATGGTGAATCAGGTATGTCTAATTTCAGAGTATGGACCATCTCTCCCAAAGGTGATAAAATGCAGGCATTACTATTTCCAAGTGGACTAGGGACTTATCCCGAACCTCTCCAAATGGGTTAGGTACATGAAACCAAATATAACTTCCAGGTCTTTTTTCTACAGGAAAAGTCATTACTTCTACATAGAACCTTCTTGTGGAAATCTGCCAAAGACTATGAGGCATGAGGCCCTGAGAACTGAGCAGATAAGGAAGAGAGAATGCAAGTATAGAAACTGCTATGATCAGTATAGGCAGAGGGTTGTAGGCAAGGAGGTGGTATTAGGCTGTTCCCTGAGACCAGCATTCCCCAACTCCATCATGCACCAGGGTAATGGACAAACCTGGAGATGGAGTTGGTGCCCTTCCCGCACCTTCCACTCCTAACTCCCTCCCTTGTCAATGAAATTGGAGATGCCAGGGGCAGGTGTGAAATGCCAGCTTCTGGGTCAGAGGCTAAGCTGAAAAGCAGACTTCAGAAACCCAGAAGTCTGAACCACTGCTGGGATTAAAATCAGCCTATTGCAGTCAGCTCCAAATGGATTCTCTAACTGGGCAGTAGCCCTCCACCACAACTTCAACCCTAACCCCACTCCCCCATTCCCACGGCCCTGCCGCCTGGACTCTCCCTCTCCTCTCCCTTCAGGGCACAACTGTAAAGAACTCCTTACCGCAGCCAGAGGCTATAAAACCTCAGCCCTACCCTGATGCCAGGATGGAAAATCTCTCTCCAGGATTCCAGTGGGGCCATAGGAGGATTGTCAGTGGGCAGGAAGGTGGGAGACTCACAGCCTGGCCTGAGGTTCACTCTCAAGGACAAAGGGCTTGGACGGAAGGTTAGAGGGAAGATTAGATCACTGCCTCCTGAGGGATCCAGCCTCTAATATGGTTTTTCCAGGAAAAGAACACAATTGACGAAATTCCCCTGAAGTTTAGGTGGGGAAGCAGGGGGTTTTCTAGCCCTGTCAGCTTCCCTCTCTCCACACACAAACTCAATTCCACTCCTAGATGAATCTGAGATCCTAACTTAGGCCTGCTGAGTAAGGAAGGGCCACAAGTCTTTCCATCTGTGATTGCCCCCAACTCCCCAGTCCACCTACATCCCACGTCAGGGACAACTCAGTGATCTTGGGACAAATCAACAGTCAGGCCTCATGCCCTACCCCTACCGTCCACGGGATCTCTTCCACCCATGCTATCTATGCCAATGTCACTGGGTCCTAGCTGACCCCCCAAACTCTGTCCTCCCCCTCAATCTCCCAGTCTCTGAGAGGACAGAAAGGTGGCTCAGGAAACAGTCCCACAGGCCCTGGGCTTCCCCAGCCGCCCAGCTATCTAATCTGTCTCACCTCTCCCCTCCCCCAGAGACAGACACTCACAAACAAACCAGCTGGCACTGAGTCGAGTCCAACTCATGGCGAACCCGTATGTGTCAGAGTAGAACTGTGCTCCATAGGGTTTTCAATGGCTGATTATTTGGAAGTAGATTGCCAGGGCTTTCTTCTGAGGTGCCTCTGGGTGGACTCACACCTCCAACCTTTTTGTTAGCAGCTGAGCGAGTTAAGTGTTAACTGTCTGCATCACCCAGGGACTCCAGAGCCTCACAAGGCGGCTTTATATCAGGAGAGGGGCTGGGTGGGGAGAGTGGGGACTCCCTCTGAATACCTAAACCTCACCCCCCTTCTTTTCCTCCAGTATTCCTGCTTCTAGGTCACTGTTAGTCACTTATCACCCTTCCAGGCCCATTTCCTGCTAAACCCCCAGCAAGCCCACTCTTCTTCCACCCTTCAGGGGCCAGGCTTACCTTCCACAACATACACACACACACTTTTGAGTATAGCCTGGCCTCTGCCCGCTCCCTGCAATCTGGGCCTAAACATGGCAGTTAGCCAGCTCTCCTTTCAGGCAGGTAAGAAGTGGTACCTGTCCCAGAGCCAGGAGACCTCACCAGGTGCCTCTCCCTAGGTCCTCCTCCTGCAAAGATTCCCAATCTTCCAGGCCAAAGAGGAAAGGCAGCTCTCCTCAGCTTGGGAGGGTCCAAGGACAGTCAGCTCTGCCCAGAAACCCCACCTCGCCAGCCAGGAAAGTGAACCAGAGGGAGAGATGGTTCATAGACTGGGATACCTCAGCTGGGAGGCTGGGAGCCACCTAATTGCCCCGTACAGAAGTGGGAAATAAAGTCCAGAGAAGGAAAGGGAATTGCCCAAGATCACATAGCAACAGTAAAAACCCAGGCACGCCCTCTGATTCCTAGGCCAGAATTATCCCCCCTAGAGCACACAGAAATGACTGTAAGAAGGGAGTCGGGTTATTTAGTTAACTCTTTCGAAGGGCGTTCAGCACCCCCCCCCCCCGAAGGCTCTGGGAGAGCTAGAGGAAAAGAGGCGAGTCAAGCAGTGGGCAGGGGCTAGGGCACCCAGGGTAAAGAGGTGAAAGGCTGGAGGTTGAAGTGATTAGAGAGGGGCGCAGAGAAGTCTCGTGGGGAGAATGAAAAGGCGGTGCCCTGGGCGCTGGGGAGTTGGGGCGAAGAACGGCCGAGAAGCGGCTAGCATGACCTGGGGCAAGCCGCGCCCCTGTCCCGGCCTTAGTCTTCCGTCTGAAGGCTTCGGCGCTACTGAGACCCCGGGCGGCAAACGCGGGTGCCTCACCTTCTTAAAATCGGCGGTGAAGGAGACAAGGGTACCGTCGGGCTTGCGCAGCTCCAGGTTGATGCTGTCGGCGTCGCTGTCCGCCTGCAGGCTCTCCTCTGTCACCTGGCCGTCGGGCAGCCGCACGCGGACCCGCAACTCAGCCTGCGCACCAGCCCCCGCGCCCACGCCGCGCGGCGCCCCCAGCAGCGGCACTAGCAGCGGCAGCAGCAGTAGCGCCGGGGGCGCCGTGGAGACCCCGCGGCGGCCGGGAGGGCGCATCCCAGGGGGCCGCCGCCGCCCTCCGCGGCCCCGGCACGCCGCGTGGGGGTGAAGAGAGGCGCTGCCAAACTTCGCCCGAACTTGGTGGCTACTTCGGGTCGCCCGGGATCGCTATCCCGGGGGCTCGGCTACGGGGTTCCCCCCGCGACGTGGCGTGGACGCACGTGGGCTGAACTCAGCCGCGTCCCCAGGCAGCTCCAAGCTGGAGACGGCGCTAGCGGGGCTGGCTCGCCCCCGGTACAGCTCGGCCGCGGCCGAGGCCCCCGACTGCGGCGCTCAGAGACTCTGTTTTGCACTTTTCATTCAATCCCACCCCCCGTCACTTCCTTCAGAAAACAGAAACCACCAGGACCTGCCTTAAAGAGACAGAGCATTTCTCCGCCCTTAAAGGGCCAGGTGCGCCCCGACTCCAGCGGCAGCGCGGGCGGGCGAAGGGCTCGCCGCAAAGCGGCTTTGCGGTAACAGTGCTTTCTCAATCGGGCTCCCTCCCGGCCGCGCCCTGGCCACTGTGTCTGGAGTTTGCACTCTGGGCAAATCCTTTCCTCCCAACAGGGGCGGGACGGGTGACTGTTCCTCCCGCCCCCTTTTTTTTGGCTTTTTCTTGGGCCACGTGGATGAAATGATCGGGCTTAGTGTTTTAGGGATTTGGTTGAGTCTTTGAGTTTCCCAGAGACAGCGAAATTCTAAAAAGCTTCTGCAAAGACAGACCTCCCCTCGCACTCTGCCCTTTTTCTTATCTTCGGTTGGGAGAGAGGAGCTGGGGTCTAGCCCTGCTTTACACCGGTCAGCTGTGAGGTCTTGATAAACTAGGCCATCTCTCTGGATCCAGCTCTTGAAGCGCCCACATTTTGAGAGACCCTGCACATCTTCCGCTTTCAGTCTAGCCTTTCTCACTTCCTCCATTCACCACTTCCCTCAGCCTTTCCCACCTCCCCAGACCCCCACTATCTCTGACAGTAATAAAGACCAAAAACCAAACCGGTTGCCATCGAGTCCACTCCGGTTCAGCAATAGGCTGAGCAAATCCAGGCAAAATGTGAAGATCCCAGGCCACATGAGAGAATTTTCAGGAATTCAGGACACTGGCACTCCAACCTCACTCCGTGAAGGAAAAATGCTACCATCAGGTTACCATCAGGTTCTTTCCCCCAAGCCCCAAGAAAACATGTCAGTTCTGCCAAGCACTCCAACAGTGAAATGAGTGCAGGCAGGGAGAGCTGGGTTCCTGCCTTCTTCTATAGTCAGCTGGGTGTTTTGAGCACATTTTTGGAAGTCTTTGGGCCTAAGTCTTCCTGTGTCTGTAATGAGGGCTTCTGAGACCCACACCTTCCTGCTAATCCCATGGAAGAGAAAGCCCCAGAGGGATGCTCAGGTCCTGTGGTTTCTCAGGTCTGTTATCACTTCCATTTGTCCTAAGTCCCCTATTCTTTCTGAAACCTTGATTGCTGTTGTTGTTGTTAGGTGCCAATAAGTCCGTTCTGATTCACAGTGACCTTATGTACAACAGAATGAAAACACTGCCCGGTCCTGCGCCGTCCTCACAATCATTGCTGTGTTTGAGCCCATTGTTGCAGCCACTGTGTCAATCCATCTTGTTGAGGATCTTCCTCTTTTTCGCTGACCCTCTACTTTACCAAGCATGATGTCCTTTTCCAGGGACTGGTCCCTCCTGAATTACATGTCCAGAAAGGTGATCGCAGGAGGGTGAAAACTCCTGTCTACTCTACAGCCTTCTTCCCTTCTGGGTTATTAGCAGGACCAAAGGTGAGAACTGGTACCCACCAGTGACAGAACCAGATGCCTGTGAACTGCAGAGTAAGGCCTAGAACCTGGCTCCTTACTGCCCATTCAGGGCCCTTCCTACTGCACTCTGCTGCTGACGTTTAGGGCCAAAATGGATTTAAGAGATTATTTAATCTAGTGTTTTCCAAGTTTGCTTTACCAAAAGAATCCTCCGAGTGCTTGTTAAAAACACAGATTCCTGGGCTCCAGAATCTATTGATTCAGCCTCTATAGGAAAAAGAACTGAGAATTAGCATTTTTAACAAGGGCGCTGGTGATGCCTGATGTAAAGCGTTTATAGTTGGTACTGACAGAGAGTTAAACACAGAAGATCCATAACAAAGAGCATGCATCCTGGGGAACCATCCTGGCCCCTAAGGAGTGCATCTCCACGTTAGAAAGATAAGACAGGCCACCAAAGCATCATTTGATTAGCACAAGGACTGCTCTCTTGGGGACTCCCACCCAGAGCTGGCAGGACTGGAGAATAGAGATGCCCAGGGTCTCAAAACTGGCTTCTTGCTTGACAGGGAACTCAGTCTCAGTCCAGCCTTAAAGCTAGGTCTTCCTAGTGAGTTGGCCCACACAGTCAGCAAGGGCCTCGCCCACATTTCCTCACTTCCCCACTCCCCATCCATCACCAGATCTGCCCTCAGCCACATTCCCAGGCCCCTTCCCCTCTACCCCACAAGATCCCAGTCAAAGTAGGCAAAGAAGCCCTCCATGTCTGATTTCTTTTAGGACCAGCTCAGCTGGGGCTCCTGTCTCTGATGCTTCTTTGTCTCTGTTGGAATGGGGGCTTTGAAAACCAGGAAGGAAACCTCATCTCTTTCCCCACCTTCTCCTCATAATCAGCTTACTTCTTTACTTTGACCACAGATCAAACCAGAGATTTCTTTTGAAATACAGAATTTCAAATCTCACTTCCTTATGTAAACCCTATCTCTATCCCCATTCTTCCTTTTGGTCTAACCTGACCAACTCTTCAAGACCCAGGATGAAACTCAACTTTCCCAGAAGGCTTTCTCAGCTACCTGCCCACAGTTCTACTCCATATTGATCTCTTCTGCCTCTAGACTCCAAGGATAGTAATTATTATTAGAGCAGCTACTATTCATTGTATTCTTATTAGGTCCAGGTTCCGTGCCAAGCATTTTATGTGTATCATCTTATTTAATCTTCATGGCAACCCTCCAAAGTCAGATTCTCTTCTTATCCTCTTTTTACTGACTAGGAATCCAAGGCTTAGCGAGGTCAAGTGACGTACCCAAGGTGATGCAAGTAACAGAGCCAGAAGAGACTCAGTCACAAGTCTGCCTGACCACAAAGCCCTTGCTTTAAAAAAAAAAAAAAATTTTTTTTAAATTTTATTGTGGTTAAATGTTTGCCATTTTAACCATTTTTGAGCGTACAATTCAGTGACATTAATTACATTTACCATATTATGCCACAATCACCACTATACATTTCCAAAAGTTCTCATCACCCAAACAGAAACTCAGTACCCCTTCAACTGTAACTCCTCTCTCTCCTCCTCCCAACTACTGGTAACCACTAACAAACTTTTGTCTCTATGCATTTGCCTATTCTAGATATTTCGTATAAGTGGGGTCATACAATCATTGTCCTTTGGTTCAACTTGCTTCACTCAACATAACATCTTCAAGGTTCATCCGAGTTGTAGCATGTATCAAAAAGTCCTTGCTGTTAACCACAGTGGCATCTGCCTATCTCTAGCCATTGCTTTCTTCCAATCCCATTTGGGCCCACTTCCTGTGCTATCTTCTGTTATCTAACGGTTTTTTTTGTGTGGTAATCTTGTATGCCCAGTGAGGCTGTCAGTTGGTTCAAACAGAGCAGCCCCGTGCTGGGAACAGAGAGCACTTCCCTTCAACCATCCAGGCATAGAAGGTCCATTCATCTTAGATGTAAAGGCTCTCAGAGGAAGGGCTCTAACAAGCCTAATTACCCTGACTACCAGGAAACAGCCCTCATTGTCAGAAAGTTCCTTATGTCTAATCTCAAGCCCTCTGCCACACCATAAACCAATTTCCCTTCCTCTCTGATCTCTAGCCCCAGGGAAGCAGTTTTGTGTAGTGGTTTAAAGCAAGGGCATCTGGATCTCAGTCCTGGAGCTCAGCCACTCACAAGCTCTGTGATTCAGTGAACCTGTTTCCTCATCTGTAAAATGGGCACATAAATGCTTATCTCACTGGGTTGTTTTGAGAATTAAATGAAATATTGTGCATAGAACACTTCACAAGTGATGGGCACATAGTACACGTCCAATAAATGGTAGATAGATAGCTGCTGTTGAGTTAACTCCAACTCATGGTGGCCTTATGTACAACAGAACAAAACGTTGCTTGGTCCTGCATTAGCCTCACAATTGCCGCCATGTTTGAGTCCATCATTATAGCTATTGTGCCAATCCATCTCACCGAGGGTCTCCCATGCCCTTGCTGGTCATCTACTTCACCAGAGATGATGTCCTCCTCCAGTAATTGATCCCTCCTGATGCTGTGTCCAAAGCAAGTGAGTTGGACAATGTTCTGTTGTGATCTATAAGATTTTCATTGGCTAATTTTCTGAAGTAGATTGCCAGGCCTTTCTTCCGAGTTTGTCTTAAACTGGAAGCTCCGCTGAAACCTGTCCGTCATGGGTGACCCTGCTGGCACAGCTTAGCTGATGGCATAGCTTCCAGTATCACAGCAACATTCCAACCACCACAGGATGACAAACTTACAGATGGGTGATGGTAGCACATAGTACATGTCTAATAAATGGTAGCTATTATTATTTAATACTGTTTATTATCTCCCATTGTATCAAATACTAAATCCTTGTTTGACCTACATATGTCCTCCACTCTACCCCCCACAACACATACTTATTCAGGAACATTTCTTTCTCTTTATGCAATTTAGGTCTTCTAGTTTTATGCCACTGACTTCCAAAACTGGCAAGTGGGCAGCAAAACCTCAGGAGGCATCTACCCTTTGCTTTGGGTCTTAGTGTGCCTCTATTTGGCAGGAAGAGAAATGCCATGCCATCTCTCAATGTGAACGAGAAAACAGGTGCTGACGGCGTTCTCTAGAAGGTCAAAAGGGAAAGTGAATCAAGGACTTCTACCCGGAGACAGGAGAGCACAGCAGGGAGCCTGTCTTTTTAACAGTGCAAAGGTTTTTGTTTCCATTTCTTTCCATGGCTGTCCGTTTGGTTTGGGTTATGTGACCAGAACCCAAAAAACCAAATCAGTTGCTATTGAGTCAATTCCAACTCATGGTGACAAACCCATTGTCATCAAGTCGATTCCGATTCATAGCGGAAACGGCTGAAGGATTCGAACTGCTGACATTTTGGTTAGCAGCTAAGCTTTTAACCATTGTACCACTAGGGCTTGGTTACTGGGGCCTTCCAAATAAGGAGGCGACTCCTACTTTGAGTCTGAGGGAGAACTGGGGCGACTGCAAAGCTCCAGACACTTCACTGCCCAAGCAGAT